AGTTGAAAGAATAACACCCTTACACCCTCATCATATTTACCACTTATATTTTGCCCCGTTTCTTTAGTTCTTTTATGTGTTGAACCATCTGAAAGTAAACTACAGACACTAAAACAATTCAAAAACTGTCAGCATAAACTTCCTAAGGATATCCTCTGCATAACAATACCATCTCCTTACCTGAAAAATTAACAATAATTTTACACCATCACCTAATATGCAGTCTATAGTTAAATCTCCCAAGCTTTCACCAAAAAAATGCGTTTAAGTTGCATTTTTAAATCCAGAATGTAATCAGGGCTATGCTTTGCATTTGGTGGACATGTTTCAGGGGTCTCTTAATCTAGAGCAATTCTCACTTTTTTTTTTTTTTTTTTGCCTTCCATGGAGGCCTTTGTTGTCTTATCCAAGATCAACTCCACCCCCAGCACTCTCCTATCTTTGCTTTTCTGCCCCCGTTTTACTTAACATTTATTGACACTTAGCACACAGCGAAGTTCCCTTTTCCTGTCTTTCTTGCATGTCTCTTCCCACTGAAGTATCAGCTCCCTAAGAAGGATTTTGTTTGCTTTGTTAACTGCCCACTGTTCTAGCCTCAGTATCCAGAACAGTGCCTGACGTACAGAAAGTGCTCAATAAATAATATCTGTTGAAGGAAAGTACACGCCAGTGGCCTTCAACTTGCTTAAACCCACACTCATGGACAATGGCAGAGTCAGACCAGAACCATCAGCAGGGACGGTATTAGGCCGTCACCCCTTGTCTGAACACGAGTTGAGAAAGTTGGGGCAGATGCAGTTTCGGACAAACCTACATGAGCCCCATCCTCTCTCCCCAGGCAGTCTCTGAAGAAGGAAGTCTGTGTTATCGCCACAGGTAGTGATGTATTCATGGCATTTTGCTTACTTGCTGAGACTGTATTATTCTTATTTACACAAGTTTAGTCTTCACAAACCTGTTAAGGAATCAAGGTCAGTATCATGAGATCCAAGATGAGAGTCCCATATAGCTCGAAATAAGGTGTCTCACTGTAAATTCCACATACACATAACAGCTCAACTTATACTACTGAACTTTGGTTCTATATGTGCTTTATTTATTTATATTTTTAGGTGCAAACAAGTTGAAGATTATTTCTTTCTCATCTAAAAGATTAGAGGGAAGTGGACTCCTTCCAGTTTCCTAGTTTGCCACATTTAGGATGTGGCCACTGTCTCCATGGTCTAAGATGACGGCTTCATATTGGCCTTTTTTCTTTATTAGTTTTATTGATTGACTGATGATTGATCGAGACAGGATCTTGCTCTGTTGCCTATGCTAGAGTGCAGTGGCACAATAATTGCTCACTGCAGCCTCGAACTCCTGCTTTCAAATGAACCTCCTGCCTCCACCTCCCAAGTAGCTAGAACTACAGGTTCACATCACCATGCTTAACTCAATATTTGTTTTCTGTTTGTTTGTTTTTTAACTGAAAGAGGATCTGGCTCTTTTGCCTGGGCTGTTGTACAATGGTGTGATCACAGCTCACCGCAACTTCTGCCTCCTAGGCTCAAGCCATCCTCCTACTTTATCCTCCTGAGTTTCTGGGACTACAGGTGTGTGCCACCATGCCTAGCTAGTTTTTGTGCTTTTTGAAGAGACAGGGTTTTGCCATGTTGGCCAGGCTGCTCTTGAACTTCTGAGCTCAAGCAATTCATCCCCCTCAGCTTCCCAAAGTGCTGGGATTCAGGCATGAGCTACCACACCCAGCCTATTATTATTTTTAATTGACAAATAATTGTACAGATTTATGGGGTACCATGTGATATTTCAATATTTGTATTTAATGTCTAATGGGCAAGTCAAGGTAATTAGCTTATCCATCACCTCAAATATTTATTTTTGTGTGTTTTGGTAATATTCAAAATCCACTCTTCTAGTAATTTGAGAATAAACGACAAATTGTTGTTAACTGTCGTCATCTTACAGTGCTATAGAACACTGTTAGGCCATTCTCATGCTGCTATAAAGGAATACCTGAGACTGAGTAATTTATTTTTAAAAAGAGGTTTAACTGTCTCATGATTCTGCAGGCTATACACGCATAGTGCCAGCATCTGCTCAGCTTTGGCAAGGCCTCAGGGAGCTTTAACTCCCAGCAGTTAAGTGGAAAGTGAAGTGGGAAAATGCACATCACATGGCCAGAGCAGGAGCAAGGGGTGGGGAGAGGTACCACATACTTTAAACAACTAGATCTCGCAAGAACTCACTATCACAAGGACATGAGGGATCTACCCTCGGGACCCAAACACCACCCACCAAGCCCCACCTCCAACTATGGGGCTTATGTTTCAACATGAGATTTAGAGGAGACACATATTGAAACTGTATCAATACTAGAATGTATTTCTCCCATCTAGCTGTACTTTTAACCAACATTTGACTATCTCCCTCTCTCTAACCTTCCCTGCCTCTGGGAACCACTATTCTACTTTCTATTTCTATGAGATCAACTTTTTTAACTTCCACACATAAATAAGACTATGTAATATTTTTATTGGGAAAAGGTAATCAAGATCCCTGTGAATCAGATTATGACATAGGGCTAGAGCTGATATACCTCCATCAGTGAAGATATATTGCTGGCCTTGCCATCTGAAAGAAACTGCTTCTGGTGGACCTCATTAACAGGTATGGAGAAAAAGGGATTTGCCAAGTCAACAGCTGCATAGCAGGTACCAGAGGATGGATTTGCTCAAGCAATGAAACCGCATCTGGCACAACAACTACAACTATATTTACCACTTGTTTAAGCTTACAATAATCCACCGTCATTCTTTAAAACCTGTATGTCCTCTGCGCAAGCCGGATAGGAGCATTAAATGAGTATATTTTGGGCGTCACCACCCCTGCAACTTTTAAATCGTTAATGGTGGCACTAATCACTGTCATCCCTCCAGAAAAGCAATATTACTTTTTGTTTATTCCGTCCTCAGTGGAGGCAGTTCTAGTAGCTTCCATTTGGCCTTTCCCACCATAATAGCCCTCACTCCACAGGCTGGGGAATCAGTGTGGAGATTTTTTTCTAGCTGCTGAGTATATGCATACTGATGCCAAATTTAACAGGATAAATTTTTGCCAATGTGCTGGGGCCCTTCCTCAAGAGGACCTACCCTCTCTTTCTTGAAGGAGTTCTACATCTGTAAACTAGCTCAAGTTTGAGAATTGACTTAGGGGCCATGGCCCTCTGTTTTCATGATTCAGGTCAGAATTGTGTTCACTTAACCTATATCTTTTCTCCTTACATAGATCAGGTAAGAATTTAGTTGGCTTCCTCTCTTTTTCACTTTTAGGAAAACCATGATTAACTAGCTGATGCCATAGGTCTGCATGAGTCAGACTATTCTGATCGCTGCTTTAACACTTCTGCCCGTTACATTAACCATGCCCACTTTGCCTTTGGTGGTTGAGTGCTGCCACCTAACATTTGCCATCCTGGGATCCAATTACTCTTACTGCATTTTGGTTTCCCAATTCAATGACTGCAGTTCTCACTCTAAGGCCTGACCTTCAGAGAAGAGCAATCACAGAGGTCTTCATGTGTGTCAAGTCTCCCTCACAAATTTATTTCTCTCAGTAGTAGTGAAAGTTACGTCTTTGGATCTTCACAGTATGGGTGAGTAGGTTTTAAGTGACAAATCCATTTTAATATTCCAATCTCCCTAAGCCTTTAAATTCCTTCCTCTATATCAAACTAAGGCAGGTTCAGCATTTCTAATTCACTCACCGTGGGTCACCCTTTGGTCCACGTGTCAGCCAACCATCCAAACATGCTGTTACAGTTCTTCCTAACTCCCAGAGCTACAACATTAAATGCAGAACCTCTGCTTAGTGACTCCATGTCAACAAATTCAGCCTGATCCAACTTTTTGTTCCTTTCATCATTATCTCATATCTTTAATAGACATTCCTACACATGTTCCCTGAATTTGTCTGCATAAATTAGAAAATTCAGGTAGTTCTTTTAGAATATAGTCCATCTCTTCATGGATCATACATGGTACCTCACCCTTAGTTAGGGACCTGCTGGTACTTCAGTCTAGTTACAGGTATAGTTATTAAGAGATGTTATGTGAGTCTTCAGGAGAATGAGCATTGACTTGTCAACTGCCTCAGGGGAAGCCATTAAAGTTTCCTCAGGCAATGTAGGGTTAATTCTTTCAGACATGGATAAACAGGCAACTACCAGTGAAGGTGGAGAAGTCCCTTCCCGGGCAAAGAAGACTCATCAGAATTAAGGAGCTTAACATATCCAACTTTATCAGGGATTTCTCCCATGTCCCCATCCCAACTTGGGGGATCTCATTCTTTTCCAGTCAATATCCTCACTTTAATATTAGACAATCGTAAGGCCAGGAGTTCAACTTGCATTGTAATTCAACCAGTCACAGAATTAGGTTCTAAGTTTGGTTTTTTGAATAATCACAGTCCCAAAGATACAGGAGATAAGCATCCACTTTAGGGCACACACAGAAGCCTTCAGGACATTTGTGCAGTGCTTGATCTGGGAATTAGAATTCCTGAATTTGTCCTTTGCTTTCACTACTTTATAGCATTAGTAACAATCAACCAATCTTATTATAGTAATTAGTTTTCCAAAAATGTCTGAGAGAATCTCATATACGCAGTCATCCAGTTTCTTGTCTCTTTTAGATGGCTGATTACGAGTATCCAGTGGAGATATTTTGTTTATTTCTATTCCCGGATATGCCATGGACTATCAGTGAAATAATATTATTAGCATCTTAAAATCTAATCAGATTAAAGAGTTAATTCCAAAAACCCTGGAAACAATTCAGAAAACTCATCCATAAAATCTTTTTCTTCTAGAACAACTCTTCACATCAAAATCTACATTAGCATTCTTCAGATAATCAGAAACAGTCAGATATATTATTAGACATAATATTATATTACACGTAAACATAATATTAAATATAAAATAAGGAGTTAGCGCTCACAATTATGGTAGCTAAGGTAAGTCCCAAGATCTACAGTTGGCAACCTAGAGGCCCAGGAGAGCCAAATGTGTAATTCCAGTCTGTATTCAAAGGCTTCAGAAGTAGGACAGCAGGAGAGCTGATCATACAAATGCCAGTCTGAGTCCAAAGGCAGGAGAAAACCAATGTCCCAGGTAGAAGACAGTCATACTTGGAGGAAACCTTTGAAAAGTAAAAGATGTATGTATAGTATAAATCCTTAAATAATCCCTAAATTAATAAACAAGGAGTTATAACTAATAAGCAAACAAAAGAGATTAATGGAATAATTTTTAAAATACTTGATTATCAAAATACTTGATTAATCCAAAAAAGTCCAAAACAAAAGAAAGATATCCCACTCCCAGCCAGGTGCAAGTGGCTCATGCCTGTAATACCAGCACTTTGGGAGGCTGAGGCAGGCGGATCACCTGAGGTTGAGAGTTCAAGACCAACCCAACCAACACGGAGAAACACTGTCTCTACTAAAAATACAAAAATTGGTTTGGCATGGTGGTGCATGCCTGTAATCCCAGCTACTCGAAAGGCTGAGGCAGAAGAATCACTTGAACCCGGGAGGTGGAGTTTGCAGTTTGCGGTAAGCAGAGATCTTGCCATTGCACTCCAGCCTGAGCAACAAGAGCGAGACTCTGTCTCAAAAAAATAAAATAAAATAAATACTATCCCACTCCTGTGATAATGGCATTAATCCATTCATAAGAGCAGAGCCATTGTGAGCTAATCACTTCTTAAAGGCTCTACCTCTTTATACTGTTACAATGGTAATTAAGTTTGCAACACACAAATTTTAGGAAACACATTCAAACCATCACTTTAGGAAAACGAAAATCAAAACTACAATGAGATGTCACTTCACAGCCATTAGGATGGCTATTGTTTTAAAAAGAAAAGTAATAAATATTGGCAAAGGTGGTGAAATTGGAACCCTTCTGCTTTGCTGGTGGAAATGTAAAGTGGTACGGTCACTGTGGAACACATATCAATTCCCTAAAAAATTAAACACAGAATTACGATCTGATCCAGCAATTTCACTTCTATGCATCTACCCAAAGGAAGTAAAAGCAGGGCATTGAACAGATATTTGTACATCCATGTTCATACCAGCAGTATTCATAACAGCCAAAAGGTGGAAGCTATTCAAGTATCCATTAATGTGTGGACAGGTAAACAGAATGTGGTACATACCTGCAAAGAAATATCGTTCAGCCTTAAAATGAAAAGAAATTTTGACTTATGCTACAATATGAAGAAAACTCAAGGGTACTGTGCTAAGTAAAATAAGCCAGACACAAAAGTAAAAATATATGATTCTATTTACATGAGATTCCAAAATAACTTAAATTTTGTCAAATTTATAGAGACAGAAAAGCAGAATAGAATGATAGATACCAGGGTCTTTAGGGAGTGGAGAATGGGAAATTAGAGTTCAATGGGCACAGGATTTTATTCAGGAAGATGAAAAAGTTCTAGAGATGGACAACGGTTGACTTCACAGCAATGTGAATGTACTTAATGACACAGAACTGTATACTTCAAAGTGGTAAATTTTTTGTTAGGCATATTTTACCACAATAAAAAAGCAAGGTTCAACTATATGCTGCCTACAAGAAATATACTTTAAACAAAAAGACACAAGAAGGTAAAAATAAAAGAATGTAAATATATACAAACATTATATTAGTCTATTCTCACACTGCTATAAATAAATTTCTGAGCCAAAAGCAACCGCAACAAAAGCGAAAATTGACAAATGGTATGTAATTAAAATGAAGAGCTTCTGCACAGCAAAAGAAAGTATCAAGAGTAAACAGACAACCTACAGAATGGGAGAAAACTTTTGCAATCTATTCTAGATTACTCTGAAAGGCATTATCTCAGTAGCAGGAAATATTTAGCTCTAGACTAAGGACTGCTCTGAGCCCACCTGAAAAACCATAAGAGCAAGACCTAAAAAAGTCAAATTGTTTCCAAGTAACTTGACTGCATCTAAGAACAAAGCTCAAGAAAACTTAGGGGAACACACAAATATCCAGCACTCAACAAGTTAAAGTTAACAATGTCTGACATCCCCTCAAAAATCACCAGTCATGGAAAGGAGCAGGAAAACACAACAGATAAAGAGAAGACTAATCAATGAATAGAAATCTTTAACGGTAATTTACTATTTAAATGAAAATAATAACAATGTATTGTGTTGTTTATAACATATATTCAAGTAGAATCTTTGAAAAAATAGCAAAAGGCCAGATAGGGAAGTATCCTAGTATAAGATTCATATATATATAAAACATAATTGCAATCTATTTATCTGGCAAAGGTCAAATATCTAGAATCTAAAAAGAACTTAAACAAATTTACAAGAAAGAAAACATTAAACAGTGGGCAAAGGACATGAACAGACGCCTCTCAAAGGAAGACATACATGCAATCAACAAACATGAAAAAAAGCTCAACATCACTAATCATGAGAAAAATTCAAATCAATACCATGATGAGATACCATCTCACATCAGTCAGAATGGCTATTATTAAAAAGACAAAACAATGGACGCAAGCAAGGTTGCTGAGAAAAATAAATGCTTTTACACTATTGGCGGGAATGTAAATTAGTTCAACCATTGTGAAGAGTGTGTGGCCATTCCTCAAAGATCTAGAGGCAGAAACACCATTTGACCCAGCAATCCCATTACTGGGCATATACCCAAAGAAACAGAAATCATTCTGTTAAAAGGGCACATGCACCCATGTTCATTGCAACACTGTTCACAATAGCAAAGACATGGAATCAATGTAAATATCCATCAGTGATAGACTGGATAAAAAATGTGGTACATATACACCATATAATACCATGAAGTCATAAAAAGGAACAAGATCATGTCCTTTGCAGGGACATGGATGGATTTAGAACCCATTATCATCAGCAAACTAATCCAGGAACAGAAAACCAAATACCACTTGTTCTTAAGTGGGAGGTGAATGATGAGAACACATAGACACACGAAGGCGAACAATACACACTGGGGCCTGTTGGAGGAGGGTGGTGAGTGGAGGGAGAGCATCAGGAAGAATAGCTAATAGATGCTAGATTTAGTACCTAGGTGATGGGATGATTTGTACAGCAAACCATCATGGCACACATTTACCTTTGTAACAAATCTACATATCCTGCATATGTACCCCTGAACTTTTAAAATAAAAGTTGAAGAAAACAAAAAAGAAATACCTGAGACTCGGGGAGCTCTTATTCATGGCAGAAGGCAAAGTTGTAACGGGCACTTCAGAAACAAGAGAGAGGACTGGGTAACTTAAAAGAAGAGAGGTTTCATTGCTTCATGGTTCTGTAGGCTGTACAGGAACCAGGGTGGCATCTGCTTCTGGGGAAGCCTCAGGGAGCTTTTACTTATGGCAGAAGGCAAAGTTGGAACAGGCACTTCAGGAACAAGAGAGAGGAGTGGGAGGTGCCACACATTTTTAAACAATCAGATCTTGAAAAAACGCACTCATTATCACAAGGAAAGCACCAACAATACAAAGCCACTCATGAGAAATCCACCTCCATGATCCAATCACGTTCTACCAGGCGCCACCTCCAACATTCAGGTTATATTTCAACATGAGATTTGGGCAGGGACACACATCCAAATTACATCACACACACACACACACACACACACACAGCCCATGTTACCACTAGTAAGAAGAAAGTGGCAGTGGCTATATTAATGTTAGAAAAAAATATAGTTTACAGCAAAAAATATTAATTAAAAAGTATATTTCATGATAAAAAGATAATCAGAAATATGTAACAATCATAAATATTTAAGTACCTAATAATGAGTGACTTTGAAAACACATGAAACCAAAACTGATAGTAATGCAGAGAAATAAATAAATCCATAATTATGTTGGAGATTTTAATATTTTCTCAATAACTAATAGAACAAGTGGAAAAAAATCACTAATAGAACTAATAGAACAAGCGGGAAAAAAAAGGACAGAGTAGACTAGGAAAATACTATCAACATGAGTTGATTGGTATTTATAGAACATCATGCCTAATAATATGAGAATATATATTTTTCTCAAAATCCTATGAAACATTTGCCAAGATAGAACATATCCTGGGCTATGAGATAGCTCTTAATAAATCAAAAAGATTCAAGTTATACAAAGTATGTTCTCTGACCACAATGGAATTCTTAAAAATCAATAACAGAAATATCCTTAGAAAATTCTCAAATCATTGAAAGGTAATTTAAATACTACTAAATAACTCATGAATCAAAAAAGTAAATTAAAATGGAAATTTGAAAGTATTTTGAACTGAACAAGAAGAAAACACAACATATCAGATGTCATTAAACCAAGAGTTAATCAGAAATTTATATCACTCAATCCAGATATAAAAAAATAAGGAAGATTTCAAGTCAATGAATTTCAGATTCTACCTTAAGAAACTAGCAGCAAAAGAGCAAATAAAACCAAAGTAGGTAGGAAAAATGATATAATAAAAACCGAAGTAGAAATTAAAAAAATTAAAACAGAAAAATAAAGAAACTGATGAAACCAAAAGACAGTTCTTTGAAATCAATAAAGCCTGCAGTCAGACAGATTAGAAAAAAGACACAAATTACCAACATCAGAAATGAAAGAGGTAACATCACTACAGATTCTACAAATATTAAAAGAATAATATGGAAAGATCATGAACAACTTTACTCCAATAAATTCAACGACTTCCCAAATTGAAAGGCAAATTACCAAAACCCATGCAAGAAGAAATTTAAAACTTGAATATACTTATCTATTTTAAAAATCACTATTTTAAAATCTTCCCTAAAAGAAAATTCAAGGCTCAAATGAATTCACTGGTGAATTCTACCACATATTTAAGGAAGAAATAATATCTATTCTATACAAACTCTTTTAGAAAATTGAAAAGGAAATAATACTTACCAGTTCATTCTATCTTACCAGTTCATTCTATGAAGCTAGCATTACCCTGACACCAAAGCCAGATAAAGCTATTATAATAAAACTACAGACCATGGCTGTCAATCTTTTGGCTCCCTGGGCCACCCATAAAATACATTAACACTGGCTGGGCACGGCAGCTCACACCTGTAATCCCAGCACTTTGGGAGGCCGAGGCGGGTGGA